TAGTTCTTTGGAAAAGCTAACTAAAGATGGATGCTTTAAAAAAAAAAGAATAAGGAGAAGAGGAGGAGGAAAATTAGCAAAGCCCTAAGGTTAATTCTTGTCCATTCTTAACAGGAACCTCAGATATTTTCCTGGCTTTACTTATTCAAGGTTTCTTTCATGAAATAATTATCTTCATAACTGCACACAAAATACACATCTTTGATCTAGCTATCTTTTCCAATGATAATTTTTGAAGTAATAATCTATTTTAATTACCAAAAAGTTTAAGCATTTCTTTTCGAAAGGGGAGCAGTTTCTTCTTAATTAATATGTGGTTTTGTTATCGATGATATTATGTATTACATGATGATTATCTCACTTTCTTAGTGCTCCTCTGAACAGTATTGCATCTGTGTACCACTAGTAACCTCTCAGTACATGTGCACTTAGACCCTTTCTGTAACAGTTGTGGTAATAACAAAAAAATTACATAAACTTGCAAAGGAATTGCTTAATGGTATGAAGCATTCTGGTTTCTACCAAAACCCCAATTAGTTAATTTTGTGCCCTTCCTGCCCTACATAAATTATGCAACCCTTACATCTCAACATCAGTGAATTATGTAGCTCTGCTCACACATCAATTAATTTTGGCCCCATCAACTTCCCACCTTCTGTGTGCTCCCAGCCTCAAATCAATTTTGCATCTCCCAGCCGCGAGCGGTTAATTTTGTACTCCCGGCAGCTCATATCTGCCTAAACCTGCAGCCCTGCTTCAACTCTTCACCCTCCCCCATCTGCCTCTGCTCCTGCACAGCCAAGCCACTGCCTTCTTCTGCCGAATTTGTCCTTCTCCAGCTCACGGCAAGGATCAATACCAGGCAGCTTCACCTCCTGCCTCACCAGTCAGCACTGCATCCCAGTACACCCATGGGCAGCAGGGCTGATCTGGAGGTGACCTGGGTGGCCTTGTCACTCTCCTCTTGATTTTCAAAGTGCAAATTGCAAGACTGAAGCTCCATCTTCTGGAATGGCCTGTCAAAGTCATGGTGTGCCTGGAGCAACCACCTCCAAAACCCTTCCAGTGGGGAAGCCTGCATCACACAACACCCCACTGAGAAGAGAAATAGCTTCCAGGTGTATAAGAAAAGCAGCGCTGAGGAAAAAGGTGGTGCCAGCATCCATCAAACTTAACACTGCTGCCAGCAGCAGAAGTAAGTGTGACCTGGGCCTTGCTGTTAAAGCTGACACTGCTACATTTGTCCCTATTAAATGCCACAGTAGGCTTCTCTAAGCAACCTAGAAAGACCTTATTTTCCTCCAGAAGAAACTTCAGTGTGCAAAACTATCAAGAGGGATATATTTTCTCTTATTGCCAACCTCTATGTGCAGCTCTGGTCTGAGTCCTCAATTATTTTCCAAAAAGGAAAAGTATCTCCATGAGAAGTGTGTAGAGACCAAAAGCCCAAGAGGGCAACGTGATGTCCTGCAAACCAAAATGGCCTTGTGTCCTGGGTTCAGCAGCAGCAGTCATTTTTCTCCTTCTTGGTAGCTGGTGCAGTGCTGTGTTTTGACTTTCGGCCTGGGAACAGATCTGATAACAAGGATGTTTTGGTTTGGCCAAGGACTTTGTGAGCCTCATGCTCTGCCAGGGGGGAGGGGAAGCCAGGAGGAAGCAGAGACAGGACACCTGACCTAAAATGACCAAAGAGGTATTCCATACCACAGCACGTCATGCCCAGGAGGTAACTGAGAGTTATGCAGAAGGGCTAGGACTGCAGGGTTGGAGGAGGTATCAGTCGGTGCTTGGTTGGGCTGGGGGGGCGAGTTATCGGTCGGCTGTTGTATTCTCTTCCCTTGTTATTTCCTTTATCATTGTTATTATTGGTGGTAGCAGTAGTGATTTGTGTTATACCTTACTTACTAAACTGTTCTTATCTCAACCCGTGGGAGTTGCATTCTTTTCGATTCTCCTCTCCATCCCTCCAGGAGTAGGGGGAGGGCAAGAAGGGGGGGAAGTGAGTGAACGAGCTGTCTGGCTGGGTTTAAACCTACACCTTGACGATCTGTTGCTTGATAATTGCTTTCAGACCAGGAGGCAGTAGGGCAGCTCTGCATCCCACTTATGGTCTTTAACCAGGGATTTGCATTCTAGTAATGCAGGATGGGTCAAGAAAGGCCCCTTCCTCACCATCTCCCTCTGTATTTAGTTCCTCAGGAGCGTAGAGGGGGGGGTCCAGCAGCTTTCGCCAAAGGGACAAGGGTGGTGACAGCAGAGTGAGGAGCAGTCAGGCTGCACCCAGGGTCACCCCATTTTCCATCCAGCTGGACTGGCGGGAGGGCTGGGGAAGAGCAGCTTTCAGTTCAATCTCCTTTTCTCTCTGGGGGCTGGAAGGAATTTAACTCCTTTCCCAAGTGGGGTTACAGATTATTTTCTCTCCTCTCCTTTTTGTCTGTGTCTGTTTAAGCAGCAAGTTCTGCAGAGGCTGACTTGTGCTTTTCTTGTACAATTCTCAGCACATCCGGCCATCTTGGGTAAGGTCCCTAGGCCTGATTGTAGCAAAAAGTAATGATAGTGTGTTTAAAATTTGGGCCTCCAACTATAACTATATATAAAACACAAAGCATTTGGGACAAACTGAAGGAAATACAATTTTTAGTAACTGAGCAAAATAAATATATATTCACTCTTTTATATCTGCAGTTGTGTTTTGCACGCATGAGTGCTCTGACATTGTGTTAGAAGCCTGTATCTCAGAACTGAAAGCCCATGCAATGCAGTGTAGCATTTGCTCCCAGCTGGTTGGCATCAAGCATTTTTCCTGTCTCACTTGTACGATAGCCATGGTCATTCATCAGCGTGAAGCTAAGCTGGCTCTAGAAAATGTTCAATTTATCTAGGTGTCCTGATTAAACCTGCCTTGATTTAAAAGAGGCACACCACTGTACTCCTGTGAGCATTTGTTATTTCTTCAAATAATAGAATTAGCTATCGGCATTTCCTTAAGAGGATGCAGAATACAATTGCAGTATAATTCCTCTCCCTCCAAGCCTAGTCTTGAAACATGCAAATTTCTCTTTCAAGTGTGTTGGCAAAAAATGGCAACAACCTGATGCACAGATGATTTAGACACTGAATTACACACTGGTTGAGTTATCATCAGGGAGTTGAGTTCTTTGGGGAATATAGAGTGCTGTGGAAAGTAGCACAGTCTGCTGGGGAAATGTCAGTGGATGGCTTGTTTCTTGCTGTCTTTTGTAGGGATCCAGCATTGGCCACTGCCATGGACAGTGCACTGGGCTGCATACAGGCCTCTCATCTTCCTAGTACAGCCTTGCTGTAACCTTACAGAGCTCGATGCAACAGACCACAGTGCTGTGCACTTTCTGCTGAGGGTTTTCATGGTCTGTTTTAAAAATAACAAGACATCTCTTAATATTCAGGATACATTTTTCCACTCTGAAGCACCCCAACAGTCTTTTTAAAGAAACTTTAGGAAGGGTGTTAACTTGACCAATGCTGTGCAGGAAGGAAAGCTCTTTCCTACTATTTTTTCAGCATGACTTTCACTGACATGATCAGGCTGGGAAAAGACTTATTGGCTGACAGCCCAGGACAGCCATGCAATATCTCTAGTCATCTGGAACTCAAACTACTCTGCCCAGGGGAGAACCATAACGTAAAAACAATTTAGGTTACATGCTGAATCATATAAACATTGTTCAGTTTTTAGAAAATAGTTTAAATACTGTTTATGTGCATTGGCTATGCACAGGTTTGGGGTTTTTTCAAATATCAAATAAGAAAGGCTGGGATGGGGTTTACTTTTTTTACTGTAGACAGTTTTCAAAAAACTTGGCTATTGTTAGAAGTATTAGGGACATGAACTTCCTCTCTTCTCACAGATGTAAGAGCTTGGCTTCCCCTATGTATCGGATATAATTGTTTTATATATAGATAATGTTTGCTTTTTGACCCTGTCCAGAAAGCTCAGTGACAGGCACGCTGGTCTGGTTGGAGCACCAGCACCACATTGGGAGGGCTTGGCTTCATCAGGCTAAGCTGCGAAACCCCCGAGGACAGAGTTTCTGCAGCCATACCGCTGACCTGCAGCGTGGCTGCACTTCTCTTCTACAGATTTATTTCCACCCCATTCAGCCTGAGCCCTCTATGCTACCCTTTGTGGCCATTGTCCCCTCTTAACAGTTTGTTATTGCTGCCCAGAGTTTGTTCTGTCACCCTCCCCAGTGTATGTATAATCTGAGTAACCCTGGTAAACCAAAGCACAAGGGCCAATATATGTGTATGAAACTGAACAGTTGAGGCCTTAGCCTCCAACTGTATTAATCTGTGGAGTTTTCAGTTGTCTTGTGGCACAAGAGAAGGAGAAACCAGGATATTTCCAACAGTTCAAAGCTGATACTAAAATGTATTAATTATAGTGTTTTTGCAAGTCTATGTTTTTTTTCTCTCCCTTTTGGAAACTGAGTATTACTGGCCTTTGTTGTTACTTTATTTTGCATAAAATCCTGCTAGAATAAAATGCTCCTCAGTAAGCATATGCAGTTCTAATAGCTTGGGACAAAGCAACATGAATTCAGTGTGTAAGTTTCACTTCAAAACCCTTTTTTTCCCCTCTTGTCTTAATTGAATACGTGAGATTGGGATGTGTCCATTGCCACCTGTCCTTCTGCCAAGTCCTAACATTCCAGCACACCTTGCAACAAGCCTAAAATTATTATTTTAGGAAAACGGCTATGGTTCTTTATGATTCCTTTTTTCCATAAACTGGTATTTAACAAGCTGAGTAGCCTTACTGTCTTTTCAGCGGCTGGTCCATTCTACCAGAAGAGATTAACCGCTCTCACACATAGCTTGGTTATTATTGTGTAGCCTCTTGCTTTGCTGAAATTGTTGGTTATTTGGTGGCATTGTTGTTTTTAATTGAGTTGTCATTTTTACTTTCTTGATGTGATGTGTCATGTGCCGTAACTTTTCCTCTGGTGCTTTCATTGCAGGCCTTGCTGAGACCAGGACGAATAGATAGAATTATCTATGTGCCATTGCCAGATGCAGCCACTCGTAAGGAGATCTTCAAACTTCATTTTCAGTCCATGCCAGTCAGCGATGAGGTCTGCTTAGCAGAGCTTGTTCAGCACACACAGAAGTACTCAGGAGCAGAGGTAAAACTTATGGAATGGTAATTGCCACAGAGTTGGTGCACAAAATTGTGTTTTCAAAATTGAAATCAAGTATCGACCAGGTATCGTCCTTAAGGCTTCTCAAAGTGGTGGGAGGAATTATGAAAAGGAATGTTTGTGAGATTTCTATGTTTCTGCATAGAAAACAATACAGTCTGGGGCTTTTTTCCTTCAAGATCTCCATCAGATTGTTGCCAGGGGGAGGGCCTTTTCCAGGGAGAGCCATAGTACCATCACGGGTGGCCTCATTATAAGGATGTGTTGCCCTGAGATGTGGAGGGAGGTGGGGGCAAGTGCCCCCAGACTGCCCAGACAGTTCACCTGGGTCTCTCCACATCCCTGGGGATCTTTTTTGCATTTAAGATTGTGACTGGGAGCCTCAGATGGAGGGAGGATAGACAGAGTTATGAGATGGTGCAGGGGAATTGCAAGGAAGTCACTGGTCACTTTGAAGCTCATATTTTCCTATTCCATATAATCAAGACATAATACACAGCAGCACTTATTGTTATAGCTCATTGCTATTAGTTGGTCAGCTTCTGACAATGGACATCAGACAATTATTTCCTGTCCATGGTAGAAGGAGAAGCTTTCCCAGGTACTGATGCCTGGCAGTTAAAATAAGTATTGATATGTTAGTGGTCATCACTCTGCTCTATGAATGTTTTTCATGTCAGTGTCTCATGAAAGGATATTTCATTCTTTTCTCATTTTGATTAGTTGAAAGGAATTAACATTACTTCAAAAATTCAGAATGTTACTAAGGTTGCAAGTTTGAGCTCTTAAAAGGTAAGAAATACCAGAATTAAAATTTCCACCTTCCTGTAGCCTAGTGTATGCATTATCGTACCATCTTTAATTACATAGTCACCTTCTGCTTTTTCCATAGCAGAGTGGAAAATGTGATGTGCTTTCCTCAGCTCCTCATCTTTCTGTGTGCTGTTTACAAGGGCAGGGAAATAAGTTAAACTTTTGTCTTGGCTCACAAGAAGAGGGTAACTGTGGAGTGTTTGTGTGATTCCTATAATGCTGAAGGCTTTCTCAACTAGTCATTGGATATGCTCCCAGGCAAGACTTTTGCTCATTTAGCTGTCACTATAAATGCTGGTACGCTGTAAAATCCTGCATTGCGTACTGGCTGGTGGGGGCACTGCTGTTAGTGCTGCAAGTCCAAAGGATGGGGTCCGACCTTGCCAAACGCAGCAGCAGCAGGGTTTGGCGAGCCTCCAGGCTTGTTCTGGGAAGCTGTGTCACAGTGGACACCAAAGTCAAACCCGCAAGAGCTTTCCTCCTCCACAGCACAGGACAAACTGTGCTCTGGGAATGGATGAATGAAGGCTGTGTAGTGAGCAAAGCTGTTTTGTGTAGCACATCTTTTTGCCACAGAATGTGGGATATCAGAATGAACAAAAGGCAGTAAAAAAGGATCACAGGCTTAAATGTCAGTCTGGAAAATTGTCACAGCTCTACTGCCTCCATGCTTTGGAGTAGTGACTCAGTACTATGTTTTTAACCGGATATCAGTGGTGCTGCCCTGGCAGAATATATCTGCCTCTGGATGAGTTACAAGCCTCCCAAAGCGTAAATATAATAAACATATTTTCTGTTGTGTATGGAAACTGTCTTCTTACTAGGCAACAACTGTAATGCTTGTATTTTAGAAATTCCAAGGATTTCCTTTGAATCTGGATCAGCTGAGGCTCTAGTGATGAATTTCTGTGCCTAGTTGATAATTAGTCACAAATGTCTTGGTGCTGGCTTTGTACATTACCAAAAATAAGTTAATGGGTCATTGAGTGCAGCTACAGACTAGCTGTGGCGGTGGAGGAAAGCCTGCCTGTTTTCAATACGGCATTTCTCATGAATTTTGTTCTTTCACATCATTCAAAGAGTTATAACTGAGATGTAAAGAGTAAATACAGAAGAATCCTCAGTCAGTGTTCTTTGGAAGAATATTTAAGTCTTGACAGTTGGCACGCACAGTGGCCAGTTTCATTAAAGCCTTTTCTTCCTAGTGTCTCCAGCTTCCCAGCTTTAGAAATAGTTTCCGCTGTTGAATGGCAAGTTCCCATTCTACTGTTCTGTCCTTTGTTTAGAAAAAGAAATGGAAAATGCTCAGGTTTGTGACTAGAAGATGCTGTGTGAATAAGGAGTTACATGTAAAGATGCATTGAATCATCCTGACATGAGGTGAATAAACAGCAAGTAAAGTGAATAGTTCAGTATATGTCTGGCTTCCAACCTGGCCTTTTTTAAGATCAGATATTTGTGTATTTTTGCCTGTCATCACTGATGACCAGTTATCTCTATTCACCTGCTGGATGTATGTTTCTTTTAATGAATATCTTTAAAGATACATCAAGATAGCAAAATAGGGTGATTACTTCCCACTGCTGCATGTGAGAGAAGACTGAAGATAATTTATGAGGGTGGATTGCAATTTCCTTCTCTAGTGTGTAAAGAAGTTTAATATATTTAAAAAAAAAGGTGCATTTACATTTTTAGTGTAAGAAAAAAAGTAATGTCTGTACAATTAGTTTTTATTATGCTAATAGTATAGATCAAGCAAAGCCTCAGCTGAAATATTTGGTTTTGAGTTTCATCTTCATTACCAGGCCCTTCTGAAACAGTGTTCTGCAGCAATGCTTGAGGCTGTTCTTCTGCATCAGTAAATCAGGAAAGTAAGAAATTGTCTATAGAAGTTTCTGAATAGCAAGGTTCGGCCTCCAAGCTGATGTTAACACCAAGGATCATTCCCTCCTCCCTCTGAGGCAACTTCTTTGGCTGCATGTCTGCCCTGAAGGCATTTGTCTGTTCCCAGGACCACCTCAACCTCTTTTTTGCTGAGCTGGTGTGACTGAGCCAAACGCAGAGTAGGTCTGGTTGCTTCAAGTACAGCGCTGCAGTAACCATATGTCTCCTTTGCCCTCACACACAGACCAGCAGGTTTCACTGGTGTGGCAGAGGAGCCATCAAACTGGGACAATACTCTTGCATTTGTCCCCAGCTTTTTTTTTCTGGGAAACTTCTACTGAGGGCCATGCCCAGGCGGCTGACGCTTGGCATGGTTCAGCAGGAGAGTGGGCTGGGCTGGGCTGGGCTGGGCTGCTGGCCTCACCAGCACTTCCAGGTGCTGCAGCGTTAGCAGGGAGCACTGGTAGGCACAAAAAGGTCTCTAGATCTTGAAAGTAATAAAAATGGTTAAAACAAGTGCAGTACTGCCTTGAAATTTTTGTAAATTTTGTCCTAGTGTTCCTGCATTTTATTTTGTGGCAAAATTTGCAGGAGATTCAACTTTTTAGAAAACTGATAATTTTATTTTTTTTAATGCTTTTATATAATTGGGATGTCTTCACTCAAAGATTAATTGGATTATAGATTTTTTTCTAGAGCATTTTCACTGTTGTACTTCATGCTGAAGTTTTTCTGTTTGATTTCTCTCTGTGCTTTCTGTAGAGTGCAGTGAATTAAAGATCCAGCTGCAGAAGTATTTAAAAGCTATGTTTGAAAGTGCAAGCAGTGTGAGTTCTTTGGGTCTCATTTGCTTCCTTTGATGATGCTGCTACAGCCAGCTTGCTTTAGGAAAGATGGGCCTTCCACAGACTCCAGTGAACTACTTTTTTAATTTTGGGTTCAGATTAGGCTTTTCATAATTACTAGCTGCTCTCTGTTGTAATACAAAACACGCATAGTCCTAATGCACTTTCTAGTGCAAGTGCAAACAAAATCATTTGGACAGTATCAGATAGAAAATTGTTTGTCCAGCAGTTTTTAAATTACGCATTGTCTCACCCAGAGAATAAGAAAGGTTGTAGCTGGAACATGTCTTGGTCTAGAGGAAGGATACCTGCCTTTATAAATGCAAAGACTGATGTCCTTATTAGATCAGGGAGGGGGGTAAGAAGATTGTATCATTTGCCTTTACAGATTAAGGGGAAGGGGTGTGTCTGTCTTCAAATCCTTGGAGGCTGCTGAGAAAAGGGATGATCAAGGGATGAAACAGTGTTTCCCCATTGTAGAAATATTTAGTTCCAGAAAGTAGGTGATAAAAAGGAGAATAAACTCAGTACTGAGTGAGGAACCTTCTTTTATTGTCTGAACCCCAGTCACATTTATAGTTTGTTACAGTTTAGAAGGCAGTAGCAGAGAGGGAAGTTTTAGGCAGAAACTTAAATCAAGTGTTGAGTAGTTTTAAGTTGGTTAAAGATAGTGAAAAAAAATATCAATATTCTGGATCTGATGACTATATTCTCAAGACCAGCATGCTTATAAAAGTAAGCTAATGGGACTAATCCTGCTTTTAAATTTGTGGAAAGCAGGTCATGGTGAAAGCAAAGGCTGGCGTTGTTTCTATGCTATTATCAGTTTCCATGCTTACAGGAGACAATCGTAAAGCAGGAATCTGGGAACCTGTAAATCTTTCACTCGTTCTTAGTAGAACAGTTGATGTAAAAAATATCTTTCTCACTTTGCAATAACTTTCAGTGGGAACAAAGAATGAAGGGGGAAAGCAGCAAGCCAATGAAGGTTTGCTGTGGCTCATACGAGGACATATTTGATGCCAAAAAGTATCTTTACAGTAGCACACTAGTTTCAGTCGACTAACGCCTTTGACTCTTAAATATGTATTCTAAAACATGCATGGTCTTGTTTAAAAGATACTGATATATTTAAGCTATAAACTTTAATAAAAACCCACTGCAAACAACCAAAACTCATCTTTTTCTTACAGAGGAAGGTACCAACTACAGAATAAGTGAGGATGTCTTCCACTGTAGGTATACAGGAAGGTAAACAGTCTTTTAAGATATTGGGAAAAATTTGTCTCTTTAGTAAACAGAATCCACAGTAAAGGTGAGAGAGGGCTGAAATACAGGTTAAAAAGGACATATGACAAATTAGAATGTGTTATCTTCTTTACACCTAGTTTTTCCATGAAGGAAAAGATCTTCCTAACTTAAGGGGAAGGCTTTCTGCTTAAC